GGACAGGCAACGTCCTAGTTATCCTGAAATCTTATTGTTTGCTTTGCGTCATGATGATGCTGTCTTCCGCTTACGCCGCCCGCGGGTCGACGTTGTGGCAACACAGAACAGTAGTTGACTGACATTTCAGGATCAAGCTGCGTCTGAGCTACGGCCGTCTGGAACATCAGTTGCCCATATTTGGCGACCTGAGTGCAACAATATTGAGATGAGGCATTCTCACAACAGGTGGAAATCAATTGCAGTCGACCTGTGTGAAGTTGCAACGTCGTGCGCAAAGCATAGCATTATAATAATTATGGCAGGCAAAAGAGCACACTTGGTGATGGAAGATCGTTTTATTGTTATCAACACACGCACCGCCATTTTGAAAAAGTCACTTGATCACGCCTAAGCCGCAGAAATTGTCATCACTTCGTGGGCGTCATGCAATTGAGATGCCGCCTGTTCCTCGAAAATCACTCAATTTCTCATTGTTCTGACCCGAGCATGATTTTGTGCTTGATGCCAGCGGTTCCGTCTCCGTGCAAGCAAATCACAGGTTGACCTGAGGTCAACTGTACACTGATGGGCTTATTCAAGTGTGCCATCATGTCAGGCAAACCCCTGCGGTTAGACATGTGGATCTTTTGACCCCTACATCACAGGTCAGTCAGCCAATGGGCAGGCAGATCTCAGACTAAGTTTGTGCTGCTAAAGGCAGCTGTTCTGCGATTCTCACCAATTGCCCGGTAGAGAGGGACAACTACTCTGTTCAATGGGTCCTTTAGTTATGGAATTGGGTGGCATGGGTGGCTTGTGTGTCAAGCGCTCGCGTCTCACCAAGGTGACCACGGTTCGAATCCTGGCCGCGGATCACATGTGAGTAGAGTTGTGCGTTGGTTCTCTCCTGTGCCACAAGGGTTTTTCTCCGGGCCCTCCGGTTTTCCCTTCCTCCGGAAAAGTCAAACACTTTCGATCTCAGGCTGTGCTCCGTGGTCATATATGGGTCGATGTGGCCAGCAGCCATAGGCGCCTTTACGTGCCAGCGGCCCGACCACGTTGTAGCCGCGCCCTTAGCAGTTCAGCATACCAGCTGCGAGTAAGGATGATATTAGCCTCCCAAATTATTATTATTATTATTATTTTTATTAATGTTAACTTTAATACATAGACCCATCATAGTATTTTGCTTTGGAAAAGCACTTTTGTCTGTTTTTCAGAAATATTCACAGCCAGAATTGAGAAATGATTTTGATTTTGCCAGATTGAATGAATTTGCAAGAGTTTGTTGCTTCACCAGGGTTTGCATTTTACTGTGCCTTTTTTTTTTTTAAATACTGCACTTCAGAGTGTATTCCAATATTTAAATGTTTTGTGGTGCTGCTGGTTTTTTTCATGAACAACTCATTGATGTGTGCCTTTTCTGTTTGGTTTTATTTTATTTTTGGGTATGTTAGACCCAAAGAGCTATATAAAATTACTAGAGCGCTAACTCCTCATTCTTTGGCCCGGAGATACTTTGAAGCCATCCTGCGCGCAGACATTTTGAATTCATGTGTGAGTTTGTGAAACATAACAAAATTAGATGGATTGCATTTTGAAAGTGTACTCTATATAAAATGCAATGCACAAGTAAAACATACACAAACAACTTAAATCATGACGGTTAAAAAACCGTCACAGAAAACTCATCTGCAGCAGGTACCGTACGTGCACGCGTTTGCCATGTTTGCGCTGTTTGCGCAGAGCAAATGAAACGCTCATTTGCTGATCGTGCGTTTGGATTTTGAACATATCGGCTTCGGCAACACACCTGTATAGAATACAAACACAGATATGCAAATAGACGTACAAAATACGTACAAAAGTTTGAGTTTTCCGTAGGTTTGTGCACAAACGTGGATGCGCCCAGCAGGCATCACTTTGTACATCGAGCCATCGCTCTGGTAATTTAATATAGCTCCATGGTTTGAGCGAATTTATTTGAATGTATATATGTGCATACTTGTACTAATTTGCATTATACCGGTAATGATTTTACAGTTGCATACTATTAGTTGTTCCACAAGTGCGAGTGGAACATGGAATTGAGTACGTGTGTCCCTTCGGCCTCGTGGTATGTACATGTACATGTATGTAGGACACAGACGCACTACATTTTCCATGTCCCACGAGTGCGAGTGGGATAACAAACTTGACGCACAGTTAGTTGAGATGGAACATGACCCGTGCGCTGTGTGTACAGCGGTTTTGCTATTACACGTGCATACAGAAGGAATGGCGTGGGGATATGTGGAATGCGGAATAGACCGTGCTACATGGGATAATGTAGCACGTTTTTTGGCCATGGATCAGCCAGTCAGCATCGAGTTTGCTTGAAGATAAATGAACGTGTACATGTATATCATGCTTGTGGACACATTTTGCATGTTTTTATACACAAAGCTGTAAGCGCCAAGATTTCCCTTTTGAGCCTGAATCCGAAATCTGAAAATCAGCTGTTTGTACATTGTACATAATTTTTCCAATGTAAATACACCATTTTTAAGGCATTTATCAGGGTTGTATGATATTTCTGATGAAGATCTGTAAAAAGTTTTCAGCATCTGTACAAAAGAAATTGGCTTTGTATTTTTGTTTCCTTTTTGGGGAGGAAGTACCTTATGTAAACAATAAATTTAGCACAAGATTAAACTTGAATATGTTTTGAGAGCTTTATACCATTTATGTAGATAACTTTCAATGATGTTGTCAGATTATCTTCCATTTTTAAAGAATTTTGAAAGGTTACAACAAATATTTTGAAAACCTGAATTCTATCCACTAAGAGCAATATTGTTTTATTCCGTCCTATTTTTGTCATAGTAGAGATATCTTTGCTCCACAAGATTAAACTTGTCAGTATGTCATTGTTATACATGTATGTGAGGCGGTGTTCTAGCAAAAGCACACAGAAATGGGCAAATATCAAAATGAGTTGGCAAGTATTAGGAAAGAGAATACTGCTTTCAAATTGAAAGAAAAAGCTGTGAGCCAGGATTACCTTTCGTTATAAATGGGGCACTAACAATGCATTTTTACGCAACCAGGTCGCCAAAACCTTTCGTTGTAACAGGAATTTTGTACTGTCCGTTTTCGTCTTAAGCGAAATTTTCCCCATAGACATGTGCACAATTTTGCCGGAACAGAAGATATTTGTTTGTAATAAACGGAATTTCGTTCTAACCATTTTCGCTATAACAGGAGCCGCCTATTCAATTGTTTAAAGTTCATACACGACATGCCGAAAAGCTAAAATACTGAGAAAAAGGAGTTTAATTTTTGGACTGTTTTGTAGATGTGAAAATGAAAGATGCCATTTGTTTCCCTTAAAAAACACTTTTATTTCAAGATTTCATTTGTAAAAATATGTGTATTACATTAACAGATATCAATAAATCAGAAAATCGAAAAAAAATCAACCCTTTTTTTTTGGGGGGGGGGGGGGGCGTTTTTCTCCACTACGGCCTGTGCCCAGTTCCATCTTATTTTGCCAGAATACCTCACCTATAAGAAGCTACACATTTCAGTATTTGCATCTTTGCATGTATTTCATTTGAAAGGACTCACTTTTACCTCCACTAAAGTGAAGTGTGACACAAAGGTAGATTATACATTGAAAAAAAAGAGTAAAATCCACAGCTGCAAGAAACCAACTTTTCTCTTCTAGCCATGCTAGCCACAAAGAAAAGTAGGCTGGTGAGTACATGTATGCACTAAATACACACAGGCTGTGGTGACTATCTTTATACGGATCTGATACACCGTGCCCTCTGGAGACATGCACACAATATAATAGGGAACAAAAGATTGTATACGTCTCCAAAGGGCAATTTCTATAGACATGATAGATGAATACGTCTCCACAAGATTTTCACGAAATAGATATATGGATTTTACTCAAAAACTAGGAATTTCCAAGGTGGGTTGATCGGTCGCAAATGGAAGAGTTTTAGAAAAGGGATATTAAGTCCGAATTTCAGCCAAGGAAATTAATTCTCGTTAAAATGAGAGCATTTTGAAACTTCACTTTCAAACTAGAAAACTTTACTACTCGAAAACAAAGAAATGTCTCCACAAGAATACAAAATTTCAGTATTCGTGTACACGTGTGCATTGTTCTCATATTTGGACAACAAAGATAGCAATAAAAATAGACAGCATTGAAAAAAAAGTACTTTGTTTCGCATTTTATTTCAGTTATCTCCCAAATTATGAACATACTTAGTTTTGAAATGCGTGGATTTAGAAGTCTCATAAAATAGCAAAAACTATAGGGTGAGGTGTTATAAAACAAATACCAACATCTCTTATTGTGGGTAGAGTAAACTTGGCCTCTCAAGGAAAACGTATGGATTGTTACTATTTTTACAATTTCCAATTCAAAGCCTACATGCATATGAAACCCACTGGTAATGAATTGTCGAGAACGCATATAATTTAGAATTAAATTACTAAGCTAAACATCTCAAGAGCTGGCAAGAAAAGCAATTTATAAATTGAGAAAAGCGAGGGAGTTCTTTGGTACACAAGGGTACACTCCATGCGTCGCTGAAAAAACTAGGAAGAGTCTTCGTGCAACGGGACTATTTAAAGATATAGTCCATCATTTGTCATGTTTGTAATTTGTGCATTTTGTTCGTTTGAAGCAACAAAAGTGTTCAAAATCTAATGAAGGATACTGAACAACTAACCTGATGTAGTTTCAGCTCAGCTTCAGCTGTATATTCCGAGAAAAACAGCATTCTAGGATCTCAATTTTAAATCAAAAGTTGCGGAATCATGTTTTGAATTGCAGCTATACGCGATGTCGCGCACTGATCCGACGAATTATAGCAACCGCACGCCTGTGCGTTGTGCCAATGCTTGCCTGCGCAGCGCCGAATAACAAAAAGAACTACTAATTTAAATTTTTAAATTTCTTAAGACGCACCGTTGGAAAGGCCTTCTTTCGTTGATTACTTCAAAATGATAGCTTGCCAGAAAGATTAATTTCACAGGGAGTTTAGTCCACTTACTATCTTTCAACCAAGTATGTTTTTCAACAATAATACGCCAGTTACTTTTTCGGATGGCTGCAAATGATGGACTATAGCTTTAAGGGACATGCAGGATGGTGGGGCTTTGGCGACCTTTTCAGCGAGTTTTGTGTGCGTGGCATGCATGGTTGCTGATATGGAAATGTAGGTAAACAAGCAAGTGTTTTCTTCGCAGTGTAGAAAATACCTTCGTATTTTTTTTGAATCAAGATAAAATATTCCCTTGCTGTTCAACTGCCAAAGAGGACATTTTTAATCTTGGATGTCTTTTCACATCGTAAATTTTTAACGTTTTTAGCACCCAGTTGCTTGTGTGTACATGACAAAAACAAGCTGTAATACAAAGATCAGCTTACAGAAGAAATCCAAGCTTAAAATCTGATTTAACCAGTTCGCGTTGAATGACGTGTGTATACGCAAAGGTTTTGCGGTATTTGAAATGGACGACAGATAAACACGCAGGGAGCGAGGCCGGAAATATCTGTCAGCGGCCCCCTCGCAGCAAGCGAGGCCGGAAATATCAGGGTGTGCTACCCGCAGATGATGGCCTGAACCTGTCGGGCATCGAGGTTCATGAAAGACAATCCCGCGCCTGGGTCCAGTCACTGTCAAAATAATCCCGGCATGAACTGTTTAATACAAAGACGTGAAGTTTCATTTCTAACTCTGTTTCTCTTTGTCCTCCGATTCTTCGCTATCCTCGTCACTTCCACAGAAAGTTTCCTCCTCTTGCCGACATTGTCTAGATTTCCTGGCAGCTTCTGCTGCCAGAGACGGTAAGAAAGACAGCCCAAATTGTCGCTGTCCTTCCGTCGGATTGAACGAAGGCCTCTCAGTTACAGCATCTGAGAGATATCCGTGACTGAACTGGTTCTTAGAATCCAGACTGTCTTGCGATTGGCTAGCGACTGTTGTGTCGTATTCAGACACATGGTTTTGATTGTATGATTTGCTGGTCTTCAAATCACCAAGGTTACTGGCAGGTCCACAATCTGCAGCGGCAGATCTTGTCGGTTCTTTTTCACCAACGTCCCTTGAGAAGTCCACCATCCTTCCATCATCTGAATCCCTAATTCCCGATTCACTTGCATTAACTGCAGTGTGAACGGGATCACCTTCACTGACGTCCCTTGAGAAACCACCTGTCCTGCCATCAACCTTCTCTCTCGAATCTGGAGTTGTTCTGTCTTGACAACTGCGGATTTTCAAATCGCTAGAATCTTCAAAGGAGTCCAGCTTTCTGTCGGCAAGAATTGTACCTTTGGCAATTTTATTTTGGACATCTACTGTGCTAGTTTTATTCTCCCTGATTCTGCTTCCCATTTGTGGATCTTCATCAGTCGCCAGTTTGGCAGAAGCTTCTTTTCCAACAGATCTGGATACATCACTGTGACCATCCTCACCCTTGGCACATCCAGCGGTCCGGTTCTTCTCTGATTTCATGCGTTCCCGTTCCGCCTTTCTGACTGTCAAGACGGAGCGTAGTTCCTGCAGCAAGCGTTTGGTTTCCTCCGCCTCCCGCCTCCGTCGCATCTGTGGATTAAGAATCGTGCAAAATTAAGACCTTTCAAGATTCTGTGTATGGGCGATTCCATGGTAACTCACGTTACATTTAGAGGGGGGTCTTCCATTAACTCTGTGCTGTTATTCTATAAAGTCAAAGCATTTAGGGTGCATGTTTTTCTCACAGAAGATCCCTTGGAATTCGGGCGATTCACAATGTAGTGCGCCACCAAGAGTTTGCCATGGAGAGTCAACTTTTCAAGTTTACGGTCGACAAACATGGCCCATATGAATGAGTGTCAGGAGACAACTTGAGCTAACTTGTTATAGATTGGGACATACTTTCTGCCGTCAATCAAAAATCACCATATTGGTAAAAAGAAAAGAAAAGGTCAAACATGTACTCGAATCATACGCTTACGAAACCACTGACAGAAAAAAATGAACAATTTCAAATGTCCCGCGCTGTGAATTTGTCGACCGTCTCCCACAATGCACTGGGAAAAATGAACTTTCCATGGCAAACTCTTGGTGGCACACTGTATTGTGAGTCGCCCGAATTAAGAGACTATAACTACCAAAAAAAGGGCCAACAAAAGAACTTTCTATTGGTTTGGCAATAAGTTTTTTATCGGGAAGTCGCGTTACAAGAAACCGTTGCGAACATGGCAACATTTACAACTTGCCTCATACTGTGCACTGATGGAAAAATCACTTTAGTACAATTACCATTATTAAAAATAATCAATCATAAAATATTGTGGTAACTCACTCTCTGGGACATTGAACTTTGTCCAAACTGGTATTTTTTTCCCAAACAAAAACAGACTTGCTCTGCCCTATTTTACATACTAACCCTAACCTCCCCCAACCCATCAAACCCCAACGGCATGTTTTGTTGGAATCTGTCAGGATGGGTACAGTACCCCTAAACTGACAGTCTTTTACATTGGGTTGGCACACCTCCAGAATCAAAGTCAGAAATATGTGGGTGCAGTTTCCCATATGGTGTTGGAATTTGCCAGGATGGGTATGGTTCCCAGTAAATTATGCTAGGGAGTTAGGCCAAAAAAAAAAAGTCTCCGGTTTCTGGTATGGAGCTTGTCCAAAAAGTGGTGCGGCTACGCGGCTTTTTTTTTTTTTTTTACCCGACTTTTTTGCTTCAAATGTCGACTGATGACTGCAAATGGTGCCCGACTAAACTTAGAGCAAATATATGGGAGTCCAGAGAGACCACATAAAGCTTATTCTCGATCATAACCCCATCTAAAAACACGTTAAAATTGTGCAGCAGCAGGATTCCAGTCAAACCAGTGAGTTTGGCGGTTTTGAGACATTATCTTTTATTGAAAAAAAAAACTTTTTCATTTTGCCGACGCGCATGGCTACGGCGACGCGCGCGCATACCAGAAACCAGAGACTTTTTTTTTTTGGCCTTAGGGTTAAAGTACTCTTGCACAGTTGAGAATTTTGGAAGATTTTAGTGTGGTTCCTTGCAATAATGCCTAGGGTGCTAGGGTTAAACTAAAGCTACTTTTTTATGATCTGTTTTATTTTCAACTGAAAAGCTGGATACAAACCTTCTCAGCATCTGAGATTTCCTCGCCCCATTCCTCGTCATCTCTCTGCCCTGGGTCGGTGTCTGTGTAGGCTTCAAATATCTGAGAGAACAAAGCACAAGAAAATGACAACAAATATAAGCGCAATCTAACATGTCCAAATATATGTGAGTTGTTCAATCAAACACCAGAGGCTTCTTGGCGGAACCTGAAATGGAACATGATCAAAAATGTATATAGGGATATTTTTGATGTTTGATTTTCCACTTTTCGAAAAAATGATGAACGGGAAAGTGAAAACAACAGCTTTATATCAATAAATGTAAGGCAAAATGAGACAGAACTGGGCAGAGGTTGAAATGAGGGTTTGCTGGTATTAGGAAAGAGAATATAATTCTCCATACAACAGTACAATGCTGTTTGTTGCACTTCAATCAGACATTCCGTTGACAAGTTATGGCTGTTTAAAGTTCATATTTATCAACTGTCTTGAAAATGAAAGATGACAATTGTCTTTCCTTAAAAATACTTCTATTCCACGATGTTTATAACTTTATACTGTTTCTTGAACTATGTGTAGTGGACATATCAATGATAACAAATATCAATAGGTCTGAAAGTCAAAAATAATCACCCCTATTTGTTTTTTTCTCATTTTTCTCTACTACGGCCTGTGCTCAGTTCCATCTCATTTTGCCAAAACGCCTCACAAGTGACAACGTTAGTGTAAACAAAAACGGTTAACAAAAATGTCTCAAATGATATAAACGAGGCGGTTCTTGAACCGCGCAACCTGCCTGCTTTCACAATTATCTTTAAAGAGTGACCTTTGACTTTGGTGTGTGACCCTTTGACATCACTATCATGTGAAAGTTCCTATGTCACATCTATGACCCAAGTTTGGTTCCAATTGGTACTTCAACGTTTGAAATGAGACCAATTTGACAAAACTTTAACCGATACCACATACATACATGTACATACATACGTACGTAGTACGTACATAAAAATCAGTTGTCTATAAAGCCACAGTTACCAATGGCAATGCAGTAAAGGCCTACATTGGGATCGCTGGCGGATCCTTTAAGGACAGATACCGGAACCACACCAAGTCATTCCGCAACGAAAAATATGAAAAAGAAACGGAGCTTTCGAAATACGTATGGGGCTTGAAGAAAAAAAGTGTAGGTTACACAATACAATGGGACATTCTGAAAAAATCCAACACAAACAGACGTACATCCGGGCAATGCAATCTGTGTATGGAAGAAAAGCTGGCCATAGCTATGAACATGATGAACAAGAACAATGTAATCAATCGGAGATCCGAACTAATCTCTAAATGCCGTCACAGCAACAATAATACAAAACCACCGGACCGCAGCAAGAAAAAGTAACCACCCAGCCGTGCAAACGAAAAGTCCATTCGCCTGATGATCGCCACGCAGTGTGCGTGTACATGAAACCAATGGTAGCAGAATAGACTGAACCTACATGTTATTATATGCTCTGCGAAAGCATAGAGCACTATAGCTGAAACCGATATAAACCAAGTGTTATATGTACTACGTACGTACATACATAGTGACTGCATCTATCTGCTCCGTTCACAAGTACCCCCTCACCAGCAAAGAATTTACAGTTTGGGGTGACTGAACAACGCCATCTTGCCTGACTGTAATATTTTGCCGCTAAGCGCGGGCACTACGTGTAAATAGTAGAAATCCCCTGGTGTACGTGCGTCACACACAAGGAACGGTGCGCGCGCGTCAACCAGCGAAATGTATGTGTCCCGCTCTTGGGACGTCATTGCTAGGTAAAAGGGCGCCATCTTTGTTGGCGCACAGAGTCAATAGTCTCTTTACTGAACAAAGTCCAGGTGAGACAAAAAAGACACCAATCCCAGAACAATTTCAATACGAGATCAGCCCAAGTCCAATAATTATGAAAAAGCTAAAGTATCACACGCATATCCCACCTGATCATCAAATTCTATTTCAGTATCCCTCATTGGTAGCAACAGGATGGGTTCTCTGCTGTCTGGGTGGAGATTGGACTGCTCAGCATCAAGACTACCATCTCCCCTACTCTGCTTACAACCTGGGAACAAAAAAAAATTACGAAAAGTAAACTTTGAGGCACGAGTGTAATGTTCAGGTGAACATGAAAATACATGTAAAATACATGTAAAGGTTCAGTAATGTACACATACACCTTTCCTTTCCTCATTCAAAAACTAAAGTACACATATCAAAATATGAAAAATCCTTTTGTCTTCAAGTTCTCAAAAATTGGCTTCATCTTCAGCAATGGCTGCACTTTTGCCCCCAGATCCGTTTGTTGGCCTTTAATGCTCAAGGTAGACTTGAAATCAAGTCTGTAATGAGTGGTTTTAATCGCGTCCGCCGCGCGCGACTGCCAAGCTCTGCGCCGGGGGTACGACATACCGCATGCTGTCCTAATAGCGGGGACGCTACGTACATTTTCGACCCTATGCGTGTGCGATCCCATGCGTGTACTGCATTACAGACACGGACTGACCATGCCGCGCGGTAGTACATGACTTTTGCTTGAATGGTTGTAGCGCTCACGTTGCATGAACGGCGGTGGCATGGCTGGTATGCGGATTCTGGCGCTGATGACGGACATAAACCACTATAGTCTAACGACTTGTCATCAAGTCTATGCTCAAGGTAATATACAACATTTGCAAATATCAAAAAACAAAACTACCAAATTATTATGAAATACATTACTTGACTGTAAGTGAATAATAGTCTCAAGCATCATGTGAAATCATGGCACCTGGTCTGCTGTCATTTTCAAGAAGAGTGGAATTTTTGTATGAATATCCAACGATGGTCAGTCGACCATCATTGGGGAAAAAAGTGATTTTTTTTTCTTCAAATACTGCGCCTAATTTACCACACTCAGTTAGTCCACATTTTGTTTACAATTGGTTATACATCCCTGAATGGGTGCAAGCCAGCTAGTCTGGTTCCCTGACCTGAGAATTCACCGATGTCTATAAGTTGGTCTGTTTCGTATGAAGAAGGGTCAGTGAACCAGACTACACGAAAACATTTTTCTTGGTTTTTCCAGCATCCATGAACACGACATAAACAGATCAGTGTATCAATATTTGCTATAAAATACTAACCCCCAATTCCATCCATTTCTGAAAATTACAGCAAAAGCAAACGCTGCATATTACATTTAATGCTCAAATAAAAACGTAGACTCCATCAATTAAATTGTGTAAACTGTGTTGAAGTTGAGGGCACTTCTGTTCAGAACATGAGGTGCTTTTGAAATTACGTCGGTGAGGGGCACAGCCTAAGATTGAATTTACATCTTTCCATCATAAACAATAGTGAACACTTGATCTGTTCCCACTTTTTTGAGCGTTCTTACTGATTTCCTTGCTGCTCATCTTCTCAAATGATGACGCCGCCTCCTGCAGACAGTCCTGGGATGCCGTCAGCTCCCTCTGGACAGATTCTAGCATCTCGGAGGTAACTGCATTGATGCTGTCAACTCCTCCAGCGAGCTGCTGGTCACGCCCCTCAAGAGCCTCCTCCACTGAAATCACCCTGTAGTAATTAAGACCATGGCTTGTGCGAATGTTCACATGTACCCGGTATACAGTAAACTCCTGTTAAGTCGAACCTCAAGGGCATGGATACAAAATTTGTGATATCCAGAGTTCGAGGTAACAATTTTTCAAATTTTTCTTCAGTCATGTCATCTACCATGTCTACACGTCAGTGTTTGTACATTAATGACTTCTACCATTACTGACTATGCACTGGGCATGTTACTTGGCACACTTTCCTTCTTTTTAAAAAGTCACCAAGCATCATTTTTTTCAGATTTCATATTGTTCTTAGCCTAAAACATGACAATAAACCACACAAATTGTGTGACTGTGTATAGCCAATCTTTATTGCATGTCATTTGATTTTAGATATCAACGCACCACGCTCGGCGTTTTCCGATGTGTGGCGTGGTCACATGGCCAGTCCTACTGAATTGATAGAAGGCGCACCACTTGCAGCTGGGCTAGCAGTAGTGATCGGGCTATCTGGCGCGCATCCTCAGTGGTTTCTAACTAATGTGGTCACATGGCCACCGCAAAGAGGTATTGATTGGATTGCTGGCGTGTGGGCCACAAATGGGTCAGTGGTAGCTACATGCAAGCTGCATCCCCAAGTGAAAAGACCAAGTCCGTTGGGCAGTAATTAGTCACAAAAATAGTTTTGCAATGTTGTTTATGCTTCTTTGTGACTGTTTTGGCGTCATTTTCTATGGACTGGCCTTACAAAAATTGCAACTAAACCTTTTCGCGATGTTGTTTATGCTTCTTTATCACTATTTTGGAGCATTTTCTATGGACTGGCCGAACAAAAGTTCGAGGTAAACTGAGGCACCGGCGCGGTGCGGGTAGTTCGAGGTACCGGGGTATTTATGTACCGTATAAAATCTTATTCTCTTGACAGGAATGGGGTATAGAGTTTACTGTATTATACTTTCTTTTGATCTTTCATACTCTAATAAGTTCTTAAAACAAGACACTTTAGAGCCCTATAAACTACTAAAAGAGCGTATGCTAAACATTTGTACTGTGTTTCCTAATGTGCCAGTTCATACATCTACCGTAATTTTCGGAATATAAGCCGCGCGGCGTATAAGCCGCAGCACGCAAAAATCTGCAAATTAAGATTTGAAGTCGGCGTATAAGCCGCACCGGCGTATAAGCCGCACTGACCGCTGCGGTTTAAATTTTGTAAGGCCTCCAAATTCTAGTCAAAATGCTCTGAACCAGTTCCATTTACACTACAGAAGCTATTAAAAGGACCACAAAAGTTATATCAAATCATTTACAATTGATACTTTACAAACAAATATGGGAATTGATGAGAAATAAACACCGGGAACTGCTGCCGGCTGCCCCGTCATAGCCCGGCAGCCTGTGCCACGCACGCCGGTGAATGACAACATTTTCCCACAGCACGTGAGAGAGTATGAAACCCACCGTGTGTTGTCTGACTGGAGCGCTACAAATCTTGCTTTGTGGCAACAGATGCTGATTTGTTTTGTCCTAAGAATAAACAGGTCCGTTTTTACCTCAAAACTTATCAAATTGTTGCGATTAGTTGCGAGAAAAATTCAAGTTTCGATCGTAACTTTCTTCGGAAATAGTCAAAACGAAGCGGACATTTTAATAGACGATTCCATTAATTTTGTAAGGGGTGATTTAGTCCCTCCTTTGAGTTTTACATCGTTTCTTGAATACATTTCAAGAAAACAAAATATATTGTGACGTTGAACAACTGATTATGTAATAAAAAAATGTTTCTAACGCCATAAAAATTTTAGTGGTCTTTTTTCTTTTTTTTAAACAGCTAAAATATTGGTAATTATTGTTCCCAAGAAAGAACACCCCTTTGTTACCACAAATGGTGTGGTCCGCTGTTGGGAAAGCATGCTGCATATCGCTGCTGCACTGTACCAGTATCACGTACGGCTGGTGGTGTCAAGTGTCAAGACAGCTTTCATCACCATACTTTTTTACCGCTCGGTACCTTTACGTGAGACGTGGTTTCGGTTTGTTAATGACTTTCTTAATTTATAATACATTTCAGCAACATATCTCTTCTTATACCAGTACATTAAATACACATGTGAATTTCATTTTTATTCTTCAAGGCTCGGCGTATAAGTCGCCCTGTGTATAAGCCGCAGTAAACATTTTCGTGGGCAAAATCAACGTATAAGCCGCGGCTTATATTCCGAAAATTACGGTACCTGTTTAGTGTTGCCTCGAGGTGGAGTCTTAAGCTTCGCACAGCACAGCCAACCCTATCCATCTCACCCCCACCCTGGGGAGGTCTCTCTGAGGGGATCTGGTCTGTGTTGTGGCTAGGTCTCTGCCTGTGACAGTCGTAACTCCGTTGCAATCTTTCTAGCGTTGCTTTGCATGATGCACTGATGTTACTGACGATATTACACCATGAGTTTAGAGAATGAACTGTTGAAGGATTTAACAAAAATAAATTTTAAATTAAATTTAATGAGGACTAAAAAAACAAAGCTTCCAGGCTTGACATGTGACCCTTCCCATCATACACATGGATGTTTTTGAGCCCATGCCCAGGGCCAACCTCATTCCCCATGGGTAAGATCTTGCTGCGCCATGTTGGTTCCCATCATGCCTTGCGCGATCTTAACCCCTGGAATTGTGTAATTTAAATAAGGGAATAAATGTGTGCTTTGGAGGTTTTAATCACTCTGTTTAAGACCGCTTGGAGTCTTGGTGCTGATAATTAACCGAGCCGAATACCTTTTCGGTAAAAAAAACTCACAACTTTTTGGTAAAAAAACCCCCCGATTTTGTTCAACAAGTTCACTTTATGTTTTTTGAAACACCCCTCTAGCTAAATAATGGAATGTCCAGCCTGCGAATGAGATGTAAACAACTCCTTTTAATTACGGCGCGCGTCGCGCGTTCTGCGCGATGTCGCGCAGAATGCACCTGGGGCGTTGTGTTGTGAGTTTAGGACTGTAAGTACTGACTCATTTGCAGTGTTGCGCATGCCTACGTGAGGATTGTGAACGTTCAACCAATGAAACGGTAAGAGGCACTGGATTGTTAGGAGTCCAAATTTCATGTGACACTGGAAAAGTGTTTAAGACCAGCTAGCCATGTCTTTATCATCCGTTTAAGACCGGCCACGTGACGGGCTCTCAACCAATAGGAATGGGTAAACTGTCTTAGGTATTTATGAATATCCAATTACATTTGTATTTGGGAGATTTAAATTAGGACTGCAGTCTATGTGTTTAATCACGATGCAGTGCTTTCTATTTTGAGGAATCACATTTTTAGAATCAATCCTTTCAGTTGAGTTGAGATTTCAATGTCTCCTTGCTAGGATTTACAATGTGCGTACAAGGTCGTCTCTTTTACAACACTAAACACAGGTATTTTTCGCGAAAAACAAGCCTTTCAGACTTTCCATATCGTTGAGGTATCGCAGTCTTGAAAAAATGTCTGTATGTGACGTGATGTGCAGGAGATAACGCAAAAGCAAAAAGTTGTTTTTCAGCGATGGTTCAGCCGAGCCATCACTGCAAAATGATACAAATTTTATCTTTCCTTAAAAATGACAGCATACCAGGCGCCACGATTCGAAAATGTTAAAATTAAACTGCACCTTCAACATGTTACAGTTAACAATGCATGCAACATACCCATGACCATGTTACCAGCGTCTGTGTTTAATTGTGGTCGTCAGATTTGCCTATTGGAGAATTGTCAATGTGTTGCCTATTAAAGTAGGTGATGCTAAAGATGAAAGTTAGCTTCACAAATGACCAACCTGCTATGTGTGGCTCTAGTCTTGCATCAGGGCACGTACTCAATACCAGCCTGCGTATGCACTCTGACCTCTGCTCCAGGAACAAACTGTTCATTACCTATCATGGTTAAAATTAAACAAAAAAAGTCTTCAGTTGCTAAAACTATGATCTGCGGCCTATTCCAACTCTACACATCAAATTAAATAATGAATAATGTGGTGCTTATATAGCCCTTTACACTAAAGTCTTCAAGTAAACACCGCAAAACAAAAGTCCACACTCATTGGAGGGGTCATAATTTTGAATCTGATCGTCCTATAATAACGTCATTTATATAGACCTTTGGGGAATGTTGTTGGCTACATTTTGATACCTGGTTTGCTACCAAAGATTGACAATATTAGTTCATGAAAAATCATGCAGTTTGAAGTTGCAAATTTAAAGATTACACAAGGAGAAATTGCTAAGCGCAAACACATACGCTCGTAATTGACCCATATTGACTGCTTCCTTGCATACAAGCACTGTGCGCTTGATAACACTGTCACATTGTCATGCAGCAATTTCCACTCGCCTAATTTTTAAATTTGCAATTTTTCAAACTGCATAATTTTTTATAAACCGTTGTCAATGTTGGACGATTTACAGTTTTGGTAGCAAATGGGGTATCAAAATGTAGCCAACAACATTTTCCAAAGGTCTATATAAGTGACATTATCATAAGTTGGTCAGATTCAAAATTATGACCCCTCCAATGAGTGTGGACTGTCTTTTTTTGCGGAGTTTAGTTTCACAGTTATTACCCCCGTTTTTCTGCAAGAAGCTCGAGATCAGCGCAATGTGGCCACCTTATTTTAGACACCTGGGTGGAGAGGGGCAATTGCAGTCAAGTGTCTTGCCCAAGAACACAAGCACCATGTCTTCCTTCAGGGTTCGAACCCACATACAACTGCGTAGGAGTCTGACACCGTAACCATTGGACCATGGCACTCTACTGTGGTACCACAATATGCAAACTTTGGGCGCAAAATCAAATGGCAACTAGGAATAACACAGAGGACTTGACATTATATTCCCATTCTTATTGTTTTTAGTCCTTTTATAACTTTTTCATGACAAACACCAGAGACAGTACTTACTTTGAGAGTAGCGAGGGAGTAACAGCCTGTGAGTTCCGTCAGGGAATCTTGATCATTCTCAATGTCAGTCATCTGCAAGATCAACAAATAAACCATGGAAAATCTTTCGCTCATCTTTCACTCATTTATAGGTCATCCTATAAATTTACCTCTGAACTCTGTAATATGCCATTCAAGTGTCATTAAAAATGACTTCAGTTTTGTTTTATTTGTTGAGCAGGTTGTTTGCCTCACATAACACTCTTGGAGGAAGAATACATTAACCCTCCTAATATTTAAACAGTCACAGACAGTCAAAATTTCCATCCACTTCCCCTGCTATACTTTTAACACAGGCTAGTCACCAGCAGTCAGATCATGTCAAGCAAGCACTCTGACTAGTCAAACTCGGTCAACAGACCATGAACAGACAAAGCAGGCAAGTTGTGGGCACAGCTGGCTTATCAATCACCCACAGTCAAAGTAAAGCTGTATCAAGTTACGTAAACAGTCACAGCCAGTCAATCTTGATTTATGTAGGCAGGGAATTCTGAACTGTTGAAAACAATCACTTGATTGATTTTGACTGAAAGGACAACTTGGCAAAGAATGTATGTTGCTTAAAGGGAAAATACAACATTTGCAAACATCAAAAAATAAAACTACCAAATCATTTTGAAATACCTTGCTGGACTGTTAGTGAATGACAGTGTAAAGCATCCTGTAAAATCATGGCACCTGGTATACTGTCATTTTCAAGAAAAGTGGTATTTTTGTATCAATTTCCAACGCTGGTCGGCCGACCAGCGTTGGAAAAAACTGTTTTTTTTCTCAAATACTGGCCCCAATTGACCATCGCACTTGTTTGCAATCGATTACACACCTATGAACGGGTACAAGCCAGCTAGACTGGTTCCCTGACCTTACAATTCCCCAATGTATGTAAGCTGCTCTGTTTCTTCTTATATGGAGTCAGTGAACCAGACTACAGGAAAATGATTGTTTTTCTCGGTTTTTATAGCATTTTCGAACCCAAAACCTCCAAAAAAAAGTTAGTGTAACTATATTTGCTATATATTTCCAACCCCCCAATTCCATCCATTTCTGAAAATTACAGCAAAAGCAAATGATGTATATTCCCTTTAAGGTACATTGTGCATTGTGCTAACAAAGGATGCTATAAAATGCAAGTGTCCAATAGAGGGCGCCATTACTGTCTAACAATACCTTAATCCATGGAGCGGTGTCCTCCAAACACACCACAGCCAGGTAGTTATTGACATGGTCAATCTCGGCCACCAGAGGGAGCTGTTTCATGACCCCCAGCGTTGCATCTCGGAGGGCGTTGAATTGAGCTCTAGCAGCTGAGAAGCAGGCCTTCCTGAGTGCCAGGCACTGGCGCTGCTGTTTTGAGGATGCTGCATTTTCAAGGCGGACAACGGGCGTGTAGGGGCTCACCCTAATAGGAATTTGCAGTAAAAACTACAATGATTATAGCAGCTACACTAAAACATTCCCAGAATGCTAATTTAAAAAAAAAAGTAACTTGCAATTGCATTTCGCCCAATTTTTATTTATTTTGAGTAAATTTCACTTTACAGTAAAAAAAGGAAAACTGACCAGTGCTAAAAAAGGTCTGTTCCTTTGTGTACATGTCGTCACCGTTTTGACGTAGCAATATCTGTGCACACAGCTGCATAACAGAGTTTGAGAAAATCGTGTTTGAAGTTGGTCAATTGTTCAAATCACATTTTCGCATGCATTTCTCACCCAAAATTCAAAAAATAAATAAATGATGTGATAGCCCAGTATTAAATAACCAAAACTATTTCTCTGTTTTCATAAAATCGTGTTTAATTAGGAGACATTACATGTAATTACTAAAGATATCCATCACTTTGTCAAAACGGAAATTCTACTTCGTCACAAGTGATGTAAATGCAGCATATGTTTGTACACTGTGCGCGAGTATATAAAATGTATACCTATTTGATAGCATAGATTTGTCATTTCATCAAAATGCAAAATCGTAGAGGTTACATAAACCTAAATATAGCACATGTGCAACATCTATAGGACTAAGGGACGATTACAGATTCGTCACTTCGTCAAAAACTTTGTGTAAAAACTTTGTCAACACTTTTTGTAATTAGCATAATTAATGACAGACGGAATTTTGTGTCTCAAAATTTGGTAATCATTTAGAGGACATCATAAAATGTTAGAATATCCAAAAATCTCAAATTGCTTCAAATCTCGGTTTTGGACGGATCTGTCACTTTGTCCGAACGGTGACCATGAAGCATGTAAAAAAAAATGGTTGAACAATGTGTACATGTCAAACGTTCTCAAAAAGTATAAACTCAACACTTATAACATTTGTTAATACATTTTTGAGGATGCTAAACTTATAGAATTCTGTTTGTTAACTTACATGGTAAATCCTCTGGATATGACTTCCACCTCCTGAATGTAGCGGATACTCTTCTTCAGCAACACCCCCTGCCGATTCAACAGCATCAGACATTGGGCCCAGGATTGGATGCTGTTTCGATGCAAACTTCTCAGGCTGTTGAAAATCCAGCAGGTTCGTGCCCAGTGCAATGTGTAGGCGGTGGACGCCAACAGCACAATAATGTAGAGGGCGGCATACGCGTAGGTGAAGTTACTTTCTGCTGCACTCTGGTAGAGTACAGCGAGGGCAGCAAACAGAACAGCTAAGCCACTGAAAAATGACAAAAAACACATATGTGTACATGTATATCTTGTTAGGGCGATTCTTCAGAAAATGAAACTGAATTAATTTTTGGGAAAAAATAAAGTTTTTTATGTGATATAATACAAATGATTATTGTTCACTAAAGAGTTGCTAGTTAGTAAGTAAAGACGCAAATTTCTTAAGATGTTTCATAAGTTGGTCTTTTCATGCATAAATTAGCTTTAATTCAATTACAAAATGTCACATACGTTGCCGATGAAAACGTCACACACGTGACCAACAGAACAGTTCCCATTGAATAGTAAAAATAAACCAGTGGATGTACAATATTTATGCATTCTGTAAATCACAAAAGACTAGTCTTACTCCAAAATAAGTATGGGTGTCTGTCCTTAGATCTTTTGACAAAAGTGTGAAATTTCGCTATGGGCTGATAACATTTTTTCGTCTGATGTCACACACGCGACCACACTTTGATGACCCCTCCTAATATTTTGACACAATTTGTGAAAGGAGAAACTATACTCTGAGGTAGGGAGTAAAAAGTACTAACGTGAAAAATCAGTGAAAGTAATATGTCAGATGTAGTTTTAATAAGGGGGAAAACTTCAATATCAGACGAGCCCAATTTTATGTCGCACCATGACCAAAGTATGGACCTTTCGTTAAAAAATCTTAAATACATGCTTGCAGTGTTTCCACAATCAGTTCTAGCACAAGACTTTTCCCATGTGCATTGCTCTCAATAACTTGTGGGTAAAGTCTGCGAACTGCGGGTTCCTTTCCTGGCTGGTGTTATGGTGTGTGTGTCCTTGGGCAAGGCACTTTACACTGATATTGCTACTCCCCATCCAAGAGAAAAATACAATGTACATTTGGTACCTGTAACTACAACTGTAGGCCACGCAGCACAATCTACCATCCCTCTACATATTTCAAAGCCAGACAAAATGGCAGTCGTGTAGTGTGGGGCCACTGTTTAGTTTCGATCAAATTAGAGTCAAGAGTGTTTTTTATCACTCAAAAATGACCTTTGCAAACTAAAGCAGAATTCTCTCAAGTATAATGACTCCTTTAAAAAAAAAATTGAACAGTTTCTTGGGTAGAAATTACAATTTTCATGCACAGTTTACTGTTGGTGACATTCGACTATGCGCGCCTTGCACTTTCATGGTACATAGCAGTGATCGCAATTTTTAATTTTCGTGCTGCGTTTTATTGTCATCATTGTCATTTTACCCCCAATTACCCCTAAAAATAAAAATCAAAACCCTGCCCTCTTTCTATGACATACATGTTCTTAATGTCGCCAAATAGTTAGGTAAGTCAAATAAAATAAAAGTGGATTTTGTTCTCTGGTAGAAAACCGGGCCTGTAACTACACGATCACCGACAAAACTCAACAATTACCGAGCTACAAAATGTAAAACTCTCACCAAAGCACATGACCATACAGCCCTACTGTACGGTGGTGTTGAGCAGGTGACTGCCGTGTGGAATCCTGACTCCCCTTGGGACAGTACGCATGAATGGTCTGCCTGTCTGCATCCAGCAAGAGGTGGCTGTCTAATGCCAGCGATGAATACTGCGGCAAGAATTCAGTTTCCTGAAAGTTGGTGGGGAAAACCAAAATATGAGTCCATCAAAATGGCACCAATGTATTGCCTTTAACTACGCCTACAGGAGTAGGGATGTCATCATGACGTCACTTCGGAAGTACGTATAGTAAACGAATGCCAACTGGAAGACTGCCATTATACATCATTAATCATGTACATAAACGTGAATGGGTTGTGCAGGATTTCATGACTGTTTCGTGACTTTTTGGGGGTTGGAATATCAACTCTACATGATCTGTAAGTAGTAAAGTCTGTCATGAGCCAATGTGGCTTATCAGGCCGGCGTTTATCTCCGGTTTCAGTAGCATGAAATGACTGAGAATATTTCTACTCCCCTGGATGGGATGCCAGTCCATCGCTGGTTATTCCCCAGCTATGCCAGTAACCATTTATACTTTTTCTGGGTGGAGAAAGCAAGTGGGGGTAAAGTGGCTTGCCCAAGGACACAACATTTGACCAGCAGCCGGATTTGAACCCCTGACCCTCTGATCGTGAGTCACGAACCCTAACCACTAGGCCACACTCCCCACTTCCATGATATGACGTCTTGTGAAATAAACAAAAATCCGTCACTTTTCCGCGGATTTTTTCCACGACTGTGGAAACCCCGGTATGTGTAAATGTTGCAGCAGAGGAATTCAGCATAGAAATATTTTCACAAACAGACACATGAAAGTAAATAGTGCTGATGCTTACAATGTGTTGAATGAAGTCTGATACTGGAGGGAACATCCACTCAAAAGCCTGATGTATCGCTGCCTGGAAAAGACAATTCGTCAAAGACACACGTTGTTTTAGACTCGTTAGTAAACTGCTTCAATCAACAGGATTTTACTTGTGTTCATACATAGTATGGGCTCTCACACATATGTACATACACTACAAACTATGGCCATAGATGTTCTGCACCCGATTTCATCAAACTCTTCGTAACTTACGATGCATCGCAGCGCTGCGACGCGTCGTATCCCTACGATGCGTCGCAGCTGCGACGCGTCCTGCGATCCATTTCACAAAACACGTCGTAAGTGCGACGCGTTGTATGTGTATTTATAGCACAACTCGGTGTCTGTTTTATGTATTTAGTCAGCGTACAGTAAATAGTCGTCTGATATTCAACAAAGAGTCGTCGGATCTCAGCTCGAAATTTGTTAAAACGTAAAACAAAATGGCGGTCGTGCGATGCAATTTTGAAGGAAAACAAGCTCTCAGTGGACTGTGTAGCTACTTTGAAATTTCAACTGCAATTTTCCAGTCTAATTCATGATTATTCAATGTATTTTCCATTTACAACTTTACACACATTGCCTCGGTATTATAATCTCGTTATTGTAATTTATATGGCATATAACTGGCTTAGAAATGACTCTTCTTATTTTGCGACGACTACTAAAAGTACTAGACATGTCTTAACTTGCGACGTGTTTTAAGCCGTTGTCAAGGAACTTACGACGCCTTCAACACAACGCAACTTTCGTGAAATGGAAGATACGAAGCGTCGTGAGTTGCGACGTGTTACACGTCGTAACTCGAATTTACCAAGGATCGTCCTTGTTCCATGGCGTGGTGTTTGTGTGCCAATGCATGCTGGTGTGCGCGTTTAGCGTTGCGCGTAACTTTTCCTGAAGGGGTGGTTTGGAAGACAGACATAAATTTATTTCAACTGTAAATCAAATGACAAGGATCTACATGTATCAGTTAAACAAGAGTGGCTTTAAATTGTAATTTGTAAAATGGGAGGAATATTATCGCTCCATATAATCTGGACTTTCCCATTTCACTCGGCTTCGCCTCGTGAAATGGAAAAGTCCAGATTTTACCTTGCGATAATATTCTCTCCGGTCCACTCTGAGCCACTCAATATTTGTTTATACTTTAAATACACTTTATTAAAAGGGCCATTGCAATGGATTTTCTTTGTTATCCAATTCAAACTTTGAAATGTACCTTTTGTGTTTCACTTAGCTTTATTTTTAATCTTCGTTTTGGTTTTATGCCAATCGATGAGCATTTCCATATTCAGGAGCAAACTGTGATGTCATTCAGCATAAAAAGTCACCAAAATTATAAACAAAAAAAACCCAATAAATTAAAAAAAACTACTAACAGAAATTTCCAACAGTGCATCGCACCATTGGAAAGGCCTTCTTTCGTCGATTTCTTCAAAATGACAGCTTGCCAGAAAGAATAATTTCACGGGGAGTTCAGTCCCCTTACTATATTTCAACCAAGTATGATTTTCAACAATAATTACGTCAGTTACTTTTTGGATAGCTGCAAATGATGGACTGTAGCTTTAATTGATAAAGTGCACTTTCCCCCCCAAAAATTTCCCAAACAAAGGAAAGTCTCACGATTGTATTTTTGTACTGTACATGTATACATTTCAAAGAAATGGATATTTACTACAAAAATAGTGTCAAATTCTTACATGCACCACTGTCTGCAGACAAAGAGAGACGAAAACCTCAAACCAGTTTGATTTTTTTTTTACCTTAAGAACATGTAGTTGAATCAAACAAACGTCCTTCTTATTCCTGTTCGTTATATCCTCTGTTTTCTTATTGCTAACTGACGGAGCAGTCTCAAAGTCTTGATCTGGGCAGGTCTCCCTCAGATATAGGCTCAGAGGCGACGTCTAAAGAAAAAAAGGAAACAATGGATCATTAGGCCTAAAATAAGTTCTTTCTAAAATGTATTTATCCGGAACTGTCGCACTCACTGTATCCATGGTAACTGCAATCATGTTCTTTTAATGTCACCAACTACATGTAGTTTGGTAAGTCATATGGGAAGAATGCCATACATGGACATCACTCATTTTTCCCTGCAGTGACCTACTGTTTATGTATATCAAGCACATGTATCGGCCATCAGAAAGCGACAACATAAAAAGTCAAAGTAAACATGTAGCAGGGTCATTCCGTGTCAAATCACCCAAACATTTTAAAAAATTTAAACCCCACCCCCTTCAAATTGGTTCATATTTAGTTTATTGGGTAAGTTAAGCTGAAAAAGCTAAAATTTTAAGTTTTAGATTGGTCGGATAAACGGTTTCTGCGCTACCGCCCGCCATTGTTTGGCAATTTTGGTCAAAATGGGCGTGGTTGCCAATTTTCAAAAACCGTTTGTCCGATGGCGTTAAAACTTAAAATTTCAGCTTTTTCAGCCTAAATTACCCCACATACATATATTTTTCGGTAACGGAAGGACATTTTCGAAGGCTGAAATATTAGAAGTCACTGAAGCGAAGCAAATTACGCAAAATGTTAAAAACAAGTTTTAGTCGTTTTTTCAAGACCAATACTTTCTCATGACAGAAACTGATGGCATTAGTACATATTTTTGTGTGTGTTTTGGTAGAATACTTTCATATCACTATTAATCACATTTTTAGGATTAAAACAGGATTATTACATAATCCTATTTTTTGGTACCGAAATGTATAAAAAATAAAATTCCGACTTCAAATCTTGAAAATATAGACTTTTAGCTTTCATTTGATGCCAAATTTGTTTAAGTCACATGTATTTGAATTTTTTGGTGTCATGTCCACTTTGGTGTGGAATTGCCCATGTACTAAATATGAGCAAATTTGAAGGGGGTGAGGTGTAACCCATTGGGTGATTTGACATGGAATGACCCAGCAGGCAAATAGCAGTGAAAATGTTGAAGAATTTACTAAGAAAACACTTGGAATTGTTTCAGATCAGCCTCATCAGAAGAGTCAGAGTCAAAGGCATGGTAGGGTTTGTGCACAGGGTGTCACGAGTTAAAGGGAATGTACATCATTTGCTTTTGCTGTAATTTTCAGAAATGGATGGAATTGGGGGGTTGGAAATATATAGCAAATATAGTTACACTGACTTGTTTGAGGTTTTGGGTTCGAAAATGCTATAAAAACCAAGAAAAATAATCATTTTCCTGTAGTCTGGTTCCCTGACTCCATATAAGAAGAAACAGAGCAGTTTACATACATTGGGGAATTGTAAGGTCAGGGAACCAGTCTAGCTGGCTCGTACCCGTTCATAGGTTTGTAATCGATTGCAAACAAGTGCGATGGTCAATTGGGGCCAGTATTTGAAAAAAAGCAAGTTTTTTCCAACGCTGATCGGCCGATCAGCGTTGGAAATTGATACAAAAATAGGCCCCCTACCACTTTTCTTGAAAATGACAGTATACCAGGTGCCATGATTTTACAGGATGCTTTACACTGTCATTCACTAACAGTCCAGCGGCTACCCACTTCCAAAATGGGGTCGCTCTTCAATTATTAATACATAGGGCATTGCAAATTAGGCCTATAGTATAGCCTAGGGCCTATGCCCGCAAGCGCAGTGGTATTGGAATGTTGTTGTTTTGCGGATTTTCTTTATTACTAATAAAGAAAATCCGCAAAACAACAACATTCCAATACCACTGCGCTGCGGGCATAGGCCCATAGGCCCTAATTGTTTGCCAAACATTGTTTTTTCAGCAATTATGTAGTGGCTATCGTTACGGCACTCGTTGTTTAGCGCCCTCTACGATATTTTTTTGATACGCACGCAGGTATATAATTATTTGTTTCCACACGTATTGAGCAGTGCGCCAGCTCAGCCGATAGAGGGTAGGATTTTGCACCGCGAGGTTGCGGGTTCGAATCTCAGTTTTGCACTTGAATTTTTTTCCTTTTCTAACCTGAGGCTTTGGAGGATTTTTTTTAAAAGGGAAATAAAGTCCGAATTTCATAAAGTTCAAATTCACTTTTTTCCTTCTAATTTTATATTTTCTTGTCATGTTTTTTTATAAAAGTTGCCAGGTTGCAGTCTACCGTAACGATAGAAAATGGGAAATGCGTTACGGCTGCCGTAACAATAGCCACTGCGAGAGTTCCGACATCAATCCCAACTTGGCTAATAATATTATTAGCCAAGTTGGGATTGATGTCGGAACTCTCTAGGCAATAATTAGGCCTACATAATTGCTGAAAAAACAATGTTTGGCAAACAATTCAGCCCCCCCCCCCCCCCCCCCCGCCACTGTCGACTGTAGTGTAGTAGTTACACAATCGTTGATGAAGCACTGTGAATCGGCGGCTGGATTTAGACTCCATTCATTCTTTCCTCAGTGTTATTTACCTTAAGAAGCACTTCCTCATCTTCGGCCATGATGTTCATGTAGGCCTAGGTCCTCTTCTTGGACTTGATTTGCAAATTTCATGCACAGCTTTCCAAGATTGCCATACCGGTAACTCAACTGTAACTCAACTGTACACACACTCCAGTGCAGCTGACACTTGTGCGCGTACAGCCAGCAACATCGACAATGGAGGGCGCCCTTATGAAACATTCGCTGGGAAATTCCGCCGTTCGTACCATGCCCAGACAACCTCCCCCCCCCCCCCCCCGCGAAAGTTGCCAGAGTTGAAAATGTGGTAATTAGATAAATTTTAGGAGAAAATTCCATCTCAAGATGATCACCCCTAAATGTCTGTGACCATCGCCATTTTGAAAAAATTCTCCACTTGCAAAAGGAGAAAATTATAGGACCCTGCAATTTCGTGATCAATTCGTTTCTGTTCACTTTCTTGTGTTTACCTAAACATTTTGTATAGTTTTGATTTTGACTGCATGTAGTTGCACGAACATTTGATTATAGGCATTATCGTTTTTGTTGTATCCCATACATAACTATATCCAGTATGTTTTAATCTCATGTGTATTATATTTGCGTGCCGATTGTTTGTATGTCTCTGTATTTTTCATTTCGGTTTTGTTTTGTCAATACTAGGAGCTCCATATAAGCCGCGGCTTCGGAAGATGCCCCCATAATTTCCTTTTTTATGGTCCTTTCTTGCTTACTTATGTCCATGTATATTTATAATAATAATACTTTAATCATATTACTTATTAATTAATTTTGTTACATGGTCTTGTTTTTCTTATTGGCATTATGGAAATAAAATGTTGATTGTAATGATTGATTGATTGAAATGTGCAGTTTTTTAAACATTATATTTTCCATGCTTTTCTTGATAAATGAAAGACAAGAACATTTAGGCCTGCGCGCGAGCTGCGACCGTGAGCAGCATTTCTAAAATTCTGACCAACTGTGTTACTGAAATAGTGACACTTTTACTCATGAATATGGAAATTCGCATCATTTTATAAACCAAAAAGCACCAAATTGCCCTTCAAAGTGGCAAAATGAATTTAAAAATAAGGTGAAATGGGACGCAAAGATAACTATATTGACAAGTTTTGTAATAAATTGATTACATAACACGAGCCCTTCAAAGCATCCATCATGCTCAGGTCAAACCATATCATATCACCCCCCCCCCCCGACGGTTTTGACCCATTAAGTTACAACCTTGAATTAATGTTAATTAATATTTTGACAAAACTAATTAACTCTGTGTATAATAACTTCTTGAGGTGATAGATTATGTGTAATCAATCACAATTTAGGGAAAAAAAGTCGAAATCACAAAATATCGATTCTTCGATGTTAGTGTCACTCCTTGGTGATGGTGACGCCTAGGCCTAGAGCTGTTTTGTAACTAGAGAGCTCTCAGGTGACTAGGCCTACACGCATGTACCGGCGGATCCTGGCCAAAATAATGATAAATGGAATGCTAAGTTTCATCAATTTATTCTCGAACTGCCTTAAGAACACAAACGTCGACACAACCAGAGAGTGCCATGCAAACGTTTCCTCAGGTCTCTATTCCTAACTGTGGATGACAACATTCAACCAACTGTTTGTCATGAGCAGTGTGTCCGTGACACTCTGGTCTCCCTGGAGGTTTGTAAATCGGTAGCACCGATGACGATCTGAGGAATCTAGACTGACGGCGCCGGTGATGATGAAGACAGTTGTGGCGGATTTGAGGCGGAGTCTCAGCCCGTTGTCCCGGCGGGGTCCTAGCGGCTGCGTCTCGCTGGCAATGCGCCGTGCCTGACGGTGCGCGATGACCAAGATGTGCGCGTACAGACCCAGCATGATCACCAGCGAAGTGAAGAGGATACTGACCACAGCTAGCCAGTTGGTGTAAACCGTCCTCCTTCCAGACGCAGAGATGCGGCGGTGTCGCCGACACAACGCGGTAAAATGACGAAGCCGAACGCACTCACCACCCAAGTCACCGCAATGACTATCTTAGTTCTCTTCACCGTACAATCCTGAAGTATTGCAGTGAGTACACGAACACGATGTAACGGTCAATGTTCAGCAATACGAGAGGGAAGACGCTCAACGAGACAAAAGTCCGGTAGCCGACTGCGTACATCTTACACATACCGTCACCCAGCACCCAGGACCCGGCGATTCGGCAAAGCCCAAAACAACCCGTTCCCGAGATCGGCCGCAGCCAGCGAAGTCATGAACAACTTGGTGGTCTGCTGGATGCTGGTGACTCGATGAATGATGATCAGGCTGTTTAAGGTAAGGATTAATATGACAGTCAGTGTCATCTAGATGCACCCAATTATTGAGAATGCATTGTGCGGTAAAGCCAGGTCGAAATCAAAACTGACCGTGCTATGTATTGCGTTGTGCGACATTATCACATCGCTTACTCTTTCAAGTCAAGCAAGTTCTAATTAACACTCAGCAAACAGACTTAACGGTTAAAATTGAGTTTCGTGTATGGTTTCTACTACTGCAAGTCTACTTGTGTAATCAGTAATGACAAAGGATCTAGCTCAAGATAAAAAACATCTGCCTCATTCAAGTTTTTCTTAGGATCACAGATATAACACATTTACAAGCTCAAAAGGTATTCACCGAATTCTAAAAACACAACAAATATCTTGATCATAGAAAATAAATACATAACGCTGTGCTCCTTTTTGTTCATTTGTGTCCCATTCACACCATTTAAACCTCTCGACAATTTTAATCTACCAGGTTAAACCTTATCCACAAATTTCCATGGTAATCATTGCAATGATTACAGTCACCATAAAACAATGCATTGTATTGAATCTTCCTACCGACAGGTGTTTCGTGTGATATGGATATCAACTTAAAAAGCAAATACCATTGTTTAAAGAAAGCTATAGATAAGGCAGTATACTATGAATCGTATTTAGCAAACACGTTCTGTGCTCAACAAATATGTTAGCTTAGCATAGTTCCATTTTGATTGGTCAACATTTTCCAATAGTGAATTGGGGAAAGAGTAGCGTCTATACATGTTTTCACAACGATAGCAAAGGTCCCAGGGTGCATGCGGTATCAGTCAAGTCACTACTACTAAGAAAATATGTAATAGCATTCCGCACTAATTCTAAAAATAGAATCTGAACATGATGACGTCATGTAATAAAATTACTCGTAAGTGGGTGGGCTTAGTGCAATTGATATAATTTAAATTTTAAATAAAATCATTTCGACATAAAGAGACGCAGCAGAAATCACAAACTAGACTTAAGGCCAAAAAAAGTCTCCGGTTTCTGGTATGGAGCTTGCCCAAAAAGTGGTGCGGCGACGCGGCTTTTTTTTTTTTTTACCTGATATTTTTGCTTCAAATGTCGGCTGATGACTGCAAATGGTGCCCGACTAAACTTAGTGCAAATATATGGGAGTCCAGAGAGGCCACATAAAGCTTGTTCTCGACCATAACCCAATCTAAAAACACGTTAAAGTTGTGCAGCAGCAGGATTCCAGTCAAACCAGTGATTTTGGCGGTTTTGAGACATCATCTTTCATTGAAAAAAAAACACTTTTCATTTTGCAGACGCGCATGGCTACGGCGACGCGCGCGCATACCAGAAACCGGAGACTTTTTTGTTTTGGCCTAAATTACATCGCAGATATTTTGAAACATTCCTGTGGAGAATGCGCACACAATCCAGGCTAAACGCAAAGTTCGTCTGTAAAGTTGAACTTGGTTGAACTTTGCTGACTGCGTGTGCTGAGTCGAGGCCCATACAGAATGCACGTATTGGCAAGCTGGGGCTACAACAATGTCACACTTGACTGAGTACCATGAATTTGGTTCATTTTTTGCTTTTGACTGCATGACTAACAGTGGCGTAGCCAGGAATTTTCCAGTGGGGAAGGGGCGCTGGGGGGGGGGGGGGGGGGGGGGGGGGGCTGGAACATTTCATGGGGGCGTCATGTAGATCAATGATAATTTTTTAGAAACTCAAAACTATCTCAGTGGTGGGGGGGGGGGCGACTGGGGGCGACAAGGTTTCATGCTGTCGCCCCCCCCCCCCCCCCCCCCCCCAACCGTGGCTACGCCACTGATGACTAATACTACCAAAAATGTAAAAAAAAAATAAAAAAAAAGAGATGTGAAAACAGCAGATTATACAACAAAACAAACCTGATAGTTTCAAGGAAAATATCCCTTTGATTGTTTGGTCGAATGATAATTATCTGTGTGGTCTTGACATACGGGGTGAGTAAAAAAAACGAAACCCAAATGTCGGGACCATTGTTTTATAGTGAAGCTCTGCACGTAGTACTTGCAAAATCTAGGATATGAAAGCCCAATTTATAAGCTTTCTTTAGTACAAGAATCATTCAAATCACTCATGTACTTTTCAAGTTACGGAATTTTAAACACAACCACCGTTTAAAGTTCTGTCCACGGATCGATGTGCATGTGTAAATTGTTTTGGTTTTGCTGAAAGAACGCACACCTGTCGGCGTTCGTCATATCCGTATGGAACCTAGGGTCCAAATCTCTATTTTTGAAGTGAAAATGAATAGGACTGCTGTAAACTGCTTTCTGACTGGATTGACCTTAATTATGCAAATATAAAGATAAGGCGACCTGACGTATCAATCATAAGCCTAGTTTAATATCGACGTCAGACTGTGCAGTGTTCGGAATCGTCGGAACCGGGTTCGGGTTCAACTTTGCCGATCGTGTGCGAGATAGTTTGCATCCGTCTAGGTTGTCGATGACATTTGCGGATGAAATGTTTCCAGATGTCGGCGTTGCAATCTGGGTCTTGTTTACGTGGCTCTCTGCGTTTGTTATATCGCTATGGAAACTAGGCTAAATGTTCATCTCTAATTTTTGTGTGAAGGATCAAGTTTTTTTGCCCGCACTTTAAAGTCAGGGCTAAAGAAATTCGGCAAACACATGAACGTAAAATACTTATCAAGTGCAGTTGTGTTTGTTAAAGCACTGGCTCCAAGGATCGATGGTTTGAATCCGTGCCGAAACAAGCTCGCCCCTCAATGCATTCGAACCCTGATAAGAAGAGCACTGTTAATACAAACATCCTGCTTATAACAAGGAAAACTGTAGATTCCAAGTCTCCGTTGTTTTTTT